TCATCGATACAAAAGCGGTTTGTCAACTATTTATCTTTAGATTTCAAATATTTTTATCATGTCAGAATTGTTTACAAATTCAATTTTAACATTGTTATTTTTTACTCATTTTTTAACATTCTATCTTCACGATTACTTACAAAATAATTAGTTCAAAATTATAATTAGTTAATTTTTTTTTAAATTAAATAAAATGTTAAGTACATAGAGCATAAAACTTCATTTTATCCGTTTGCTAAACAATTTTGTTTTTTTTTTACTTCATTACCCTACATTTTTAAAAATAAATAAGGTCTTTCATCAATTTTAACCCACCACAAACAGTCATCGCTATACGATTTCCAACAAAATTTCTGAATAATAAACAAAAACAGCATAACAGAACAAAATACATAACATAAAAGTTCATAAATAAATACACTTTTTAGTTTGATTTTCAATATTAAAATATTACCTTTTTTATTGTTCCTACAAATTGAAAACGTAAAACTGTTTTTTTTCAAAATTAACTGATTAAGTCTTATTAGGTATTTCCAAAATAAATAAAATATATATAACTTGGTATTGTAATAATTATATCTTTTGCAACAGAATTCAATTCGCATATCAAGTGAAGACAAAGAAGCACAAACTAATTTATTGACGCTCCGATTTCAAGATATCGATGAAATTGAAAAATGATTGTGCTTAATAACAATCGTAAAACATTTCTATATTTGAATTCTATTCTTGAAAAAATAACTAATTAAATAGATCTGTTGTTGTTATTTTTTTTACAAAAGTATGTTTGTTGAGAGTATGTAGAAAATAGAGTTTGTTCGCTGGCAATACCAGGAACGGGAAATTCTCAGAACGTAAACAACGTTTGAAATTGTGAGAATCTAGAACTGAAAATTTTAGGTAAAACAAAAATTCAAAAAGATTCTAAATAAAGTTAAATAACTTTCCTAAAAGCCAAATGAACGTTAGATTCTATTTAATTTTAATTTTTTCTGAATTAAGAACTGAATATTTTAGGTAAAATAATAATTCAAAAAAATTCTAAATAGTTAAATAACTTTCCTAAAAGCTAAATAAACGTCAGATTCAATTTAATTTACTCTCGGAGTAAAATTTTAAGTCTCACTTCGATTTTGTATAAAAATTGCTTGAAAAAATGGTATATTAAAATTTTAATTAAAAACTGAAAACCTTTAAAAAATATATAAGAAGTTTCATTTAAGGATATATTTTAAATCATATGCTGTTATGCAATATGCATATCTTTGTATTTTTAGCTTTGAACTTGTGTTTTTAGAATTCCTGTACAACAATCTTGTGAATTTGATAACATGATTGACGAGTCAGATAAATTTAAATCATTGATTGTCAAATTCAAACGATATGAAGGGGTACACAGTATCGATTTGGTAATAACAAAGCGGTTCCGGTTACTGATTGCTCCATTGTGTGTTATAGTTTTAATTGGTGGTAGTAGAGGATGGATGACGTGGTTATTGTTATTTTCTACTTTCTTGAACAGTCTTGAATCGAGTGTGTTGAGTGGCGGTAGGATATGATGCAGCGAATTAGTTTTTTTGGAAGCGGATTAGTTTTTAAAATCTAATTTAGAGATTTTGGATTTTTATTTAGTTTTGTACTCAAAGCACCTTCTTAATATTTGCGTTTTTTTTTAATTTTGATTTCGGTGTTCAAAATTTGCAACATGGGAAAAAGGGAAATGGGAGGGGAAACGCAGAAATGAGAAATAATGGAAATTTTCTGGAACTTTGTCATAAATGGGAATCCGGGAAGAAATCTGGAATGATACATAAAACTGGGAAGAATTTGGAATAAATTTTAATTCCCGCTCATCTCTATTTCAAAGTACAATGTTGTCCTTCTATTTTTACATTGGCTTATAGATGATAACTTGTTGTACGCAGTGACAATCGTGACAAATCATGAAATAACTCACTTTCGAACTGTGCACACCGGTCTGTTACAACATAAAGAGAGACACCAAAACGAGCTATCCAAATATTTAAAAAGGTTGAGGCTGTTAATTCTAACATTGGACCAGTTGTTCTGTCAATACAAGTAAATAAATACCGGTAAGATTTTAGATAAGATTTATTACACGATCTCAACAATATCGACGACATTGACAACTTCACCCTATCATTTCAAAATTCAATCCACCAATATTTTGCCGAAACATATGGCAAGTTAAAACTCAAAAAATCTATAAACGACAACATCAACATCAATCAATTAAAGAAAAATCTGAAAATTCTCAGTCGCAACAATGAAATAAAATCCCTGAGCAAACAAATCGGATCAAAACTGAAACGGGCAAAGCTGGCTAAACCTAGCGGTTGATCAGATATATCGAACCAATTGTCAAACAACTTTTGGCGAACATGTAAGAAAACGTTTCTACCAACTACATCACTGTCCCCTCTATTCAATGTTGAAAATGGTAGGGAATACTTTAGCAACGTGATGATGAAGGATGACAGAGAAAAGTTTGGCATCCTGAACTGGATCCCATCCTTTCCTTCGCCAAAGTTCAATGGCAACACTGACCCTCTTACGTATGAAGAAATATCGACAATCATACGCAAAAGTAAATCCAGAGCTTCTCCATATCCGTCTGACCAGATGTCGATTATAATTTTTTAAAAATGCCCAATGCGGTGGCGTGATGGTCATATTTTAAGGTCGCCTAGTGCTGTTTCGTAGTAACCGGGTTCGAATATGACAAAAGATCCCCACCTATCACATGCTTCGTGTGATGCGTCGTTTAGCACGTATTCATTTACGATGTTTGTGCGCTTTGTTGAATCCTCTAAACTTTGGAAGAGTGTAATTGACCTTTAACCTTTTAACCTCAGAACCTACTATCAAAATGTTAGGTTTCATCGACAATTCCAGATTGCTGAAGGTGAGGCTTATCGATTTTGATTTACAAAAAAGGTGACGCCAGTGGTCCCGCAAATTTCAGACCTATAACCTTACAACCCGTTCTCCACAAAGTTTTATCCTCATTTATAAAAAAAGACTCTACCAATTTCTTCAACAAAATGAATTTATCAACACCAGCATTCAAAAATATTCTACCCTAAAGTCGACGGCTTAGTAGAACATACTCACATGTTAACATACCTGCCTAAAGATGCCAGAAAAAACCAGCGAACCATTATCGTTGCTTTACTCGACCTAAAAAATGCCTTCAGTAAAGTAAATCATTTCCTCATCAGTTCAATCTTATCATTCCACCACGTTCCACAACAGTTTAAATCATTAACTATGTCAATATATTCAAACTACTCAATACAAGTTTCCATCAACAACAAACTAACGTCAGCTCAGCTTGTCGAGAGGATCTGGGATATACAGCCACTGATTAGCATTGCGAACCACTCTCTGGACATCTTCAATATCAGATTATCCAAGTTGGACGATATCCAAGTCAATGAAAAGTTATAGCCACGGAGTTCGTATTGTAGTTGGGAGGAAATGAAAAACATGAAAATCCAAGGTGATCCGTGCTCTCAACTACTCTTCAATCTTTGTTTCAACCCGCTGATGAAGGTTCTAGAAACTCAAGAGTATAAAGGATGCGGTTACTTCTGGGGGCCAACTTTAGGGCTAAAAGCCAAATCATGGCTCCAATTTGCCGACGACTCGGCATTAATTGCTCATTGTACAGAAAGCAATTAATTAATCTGAATTATGCTTAGTGGCCAAACATGCAGATGCGAATAAGGAAAAAAGATGGAGCATACGAACAGTTTTCTCCAAGACTGACGATCGATGATGATGTGATTCCCGATATAAAAATTGGTGATAGCTTTATCTACTTGGGGAAATCATATGATTTTGAGGGCAAAAACATTAAAGCCAAAGAGGCGATTGTTTCAAAACTGACCAGTTTCTTGGAAACCACTTCGTCTCTCGACATCACGCCACAACAGAGGCTTCAGATTCTAAGAAGTTTCATCCCCTCCCAACTACATATGAATTCCATTGCTATAACTTTACATTGACTTGGATATTGTCCAACTTAGACAATCTGATAGTGAAAAAGGTCAAAGAGTGGTTCGCAATGCCGATCAGTGGCTGTGTGTCCCAGATCTTTTCGCTACCAACAAAGTTTGGCGGCAATAACATTACACTACTGAAAAAACAAAATTGAAAATTAGAAGTTATTTTAAAAACAGCACCAACGTAGAAATCCAATGTCTTTTTCAAGAAACAACTTCGTCCTATATCAAACCTGACAATTGGCTGTCTGAAACGGGCTCGCTGAAGCTGTCTCTCGCTCTTATTGATGAAACTCGTTTAAAGTCCTGTTACAACCACGTTATTGAACTGCAGTCGCAAGGAGTGATACTCAAAACAATTGTCGATGTGACTAAACTAAACCAGCACAAATTACGCGCTGGTCAAGGATTACCAATAACATACCAGGAGTATTATACAAATTCATAAGAAAATGTTTTGTGCAACAACAGCCCACAAACTCAAACTTGTTTAGGAAGACCAAAACTGCATCATCCTTGTGTTTGCTATGCAAAGTTCGACAGACGAATAAACATGTAAAATACGAATAAACGTCAAATTGTGGTTCAACTTCGGCTTTGGCGAGACACAATAAACTGCTGGCGCTAATCATCATACTCCGGCTGATTGCTGCATCTTTGCTGATTTGGTAGCGGAAAACGTTCGACCAATGTCTGATATATTCAACACGCTATGTCCAAATGTTGCCATTCTGAATAAAAGTTGTAGAATTGACGATATGCCACGAAACAAACATGTTAACATCCAGACAATTTAAACGCCATAAATAAAGAAACCTGCAGTCGTATAAAATCGTTATTCATAACTGAATTGCTCTATCATTCTCATTTCATTTGAAATATCGCCAATTGGCTTTTATAACAATCTTAACATATCTTTATTTAAAATCTTATGCCCTAATTCTTTTGATGAAAAACTTATAAAAACCGCAATTAGTTTGTCATACGGAACGTAATATATTGTGACAGAAAACCATTTAAATATGTGAACTTCTGCCGCGCGGTGAAATTTTTTTTTTGCTCGAATATCAACAACCGCCGCCGCCAGCCTAGGCAGTCTCGCTTTTGGCCGGGACTCGCCTCTTCACAACTTTTTATTTCCGGGTCGGAAAATACGGACCGGGCGGAAGAATTATCACGCGCTGCTTGCTGGTCGGTTAATCCGGCCCTATTAACCGCTAGCAAGTCTTCTTCAAACATGTTTTAGTTTTTAAAAGTGACAAACAAAACCTAACTGAAATAATTCTATTAATAAACAAAAATAAAACAAACAAAATAATATTGACTTATAATATTCTTTAATTCAAATGTTTTTAAAGTCAACGACAGAACTAAATTAAATATTCTTAGTAAACGAAAAATATTTGTACCAGCTGTAATAATGAATAAAATTCCAAAACCAAAAACGCCAGAGCAACCAAACATGCAGAACCCGACCGACCAAATACCAACCACAATAAACCCAAAAAGTAATTCAAAACACTAACCCAAAACACTAACTTTTCCTTTTTTCCCCTTTTTTCCAATTGTCCAAAAGGTTTATATACTAAACAAATTCTAAACATACTGAGAAAACATTCATTCTCAAACAATATATGTGCGCCATACCTTACCAACATTCACTAATTAATTAATACCATATTCTACCAATCTGCACACAAAACCAATTCATACGACATTCGACCAGCCTGCCCACCTGACCACTTTATACACCATGCGCGCCAACATGCTAAAAACCTATTTTAACCTAAAAAAAATGATCCTGCAAATTATTAGAATATACAATTATATCATCGATGTATGCCAAACATGTATTTGGGCACAAGTCCGAAAACACTATATCCATCAAGCGTTGAAAAGTAGCGCCAGCGTTACATAACCCAAACGGCATTCGTTTGAACCTAAAAATGCCTTTGTTACAGACGAAAGCAGTTTTATCCCTATCATCTGGATGCATTTCTATTTGGTGATAAGATGATTTAAGATCCAAAAAGGAAAACCATCGCGCACCTGACATCGCGTCTAGACACATGTCTTATCTTGGAAGCTGGTACGCGTCCTTTACTGTTAGCAAATTTAATTTCCGGTAATCAATACAACATCGGTATGAGCCGTCTTTTTTCTTTACCAAAACAATGTTGGAGGACCAAGGCCCATGAGATGGCTCAATCACATCTTGCTCCAACATTTCGTCTACCTGTTTTGCGATAACTTTTTGGTGTGCCGGGGAATGACGTCTGAGTTGTTGCTTTATGGGCAGGGCCTGCTCTGTGTTGATCCTATGATAAACCCCTTTTGCAACTCCAATTTCTGTGTCTGTATTACTAAATATATCCTGACAATTATTTATTAATTCAGATAATTCATGCCTTCCTTCTTCGGGGGCATCCCTGGTCAATTTGTCAATTATGGTTTTGACGTTAACTAGATTCTCCTGCAGCGGTTGTTGATCCAACTTGTTTTCCAACATGGCCCATAAAAGATCGGCCAATCGTGTTTCCTGTTTAATCAACCTGGATTCGTCATTTACGTTTAATGTTCTGACACATTGACCCTCGTATTTTATCGGAAGCAACTCTCTGACAATCTTTTAGTGACCAGCTTCACTATTCTATTTTTGTTACCAACGGTAATTTGAGCTTCGTCAAACTTCCATGAGACTTTATTATTTACTAGCCAATCTAAACCCAAGATAATTTCTGACACATGGTCTGATACCAAAACCGAAGCAAGCTTCGAAAATCCACCATCCACCATAGTCTCATTTCCTTCTTCATTGGAATTGTTAGCCTTTTTTGGTAGGTGTGACCCTCGCGTTGCTTCCGCTATCCAACCAACCCAATCTTTTTCTGCCATTTACCAAAATCGGCAGATATAAAGTTTGATCATCATTTTTATTAGATTTGTTCACGCGTTTTGATTGTTTATTTGACTTTTCCTTCTCTGGGCATTCCATTTTGAAATGGTCTGATTTTCCGCACCTGTAACAATTATTCTGACCCTTTTGATTGCTTGACTGAAACTTGTTTGATATATTTTCTGAAGGCATTGGGAGATGAAGTGTCCTGGTTTTCCAGGAAAACAAACAAACAAACCTTTTCACCCGTGATCCGAAAGATAGCTGACTGTACCTAATGATCTTGAAGGACGTCAACCGACTGACGAAGCGCGTTTATTTGCCGCTTCACTGCCTTCACCCTGTTTTCTGTTGTATCCTGCATGTTCCTAACCTGTGGGGTAAACCTGTAGGATGAATTAACTAAGTTTTTTGAAACTTCAAGGCGCTGTGCAATTCAATATTTTTTGGTTCCCTTTCTCTAACTTTCAGTTTTAAATCAGCGTCATTAAGAGCAAAAAAAAAAAATTTCTTGTTAAATTTACCGCCAACTTTGACTGTTTGCCCGGGTGAGCTAACGACATTAACTTTTTTACCGTTTGTGATAATTCTGGTTTGCGTCGATGAGTCGGCAACTCATGTCTATACGATTCTTTGTGACCACTCGTTCTATAACGGTTTTCTAGCTTCGTTACTAATTTTTGATAACCTAGTCCCACTAAGTCCCAAAGAACTTCAGCAGCTTCACCTGCCAACGAACATGACAGATACGCTACCTGTCGTCCATACTCCATTGGTTATACATAGCACATATCTCGAACTTCTTAAGAAAAGTTTTGAGACACCCAGTGCCATCAAACTTGTCTGGTTTTAACAGCTCATGATGTCGGACCTGTGATGTTTGGTATATACACTCGGCTCACAATGCGTGGTTGTCGAACGAAGAACTGTGTTCGACTCCTTCATTCTCTTTGAACCATTCTGCATCTATTCCTGGAATTTGAAACATTATTACGCTTACGAATAACAGAGAGGCTTTGTGCTGGCGTAGGCTTATAAACTGATAAAACTTGTTCTGGCGCGAATTCCGCAGACTTAAAACTGAAAATTTTCTGTGCGTCGTTAAACCCAATACCTGAAAATTCTGGAGAAGTTTTACAAACAACTGCCTCCGGTACTGACTGTTGACCTACCTGATACTTAAAATCTAAAATATTTTCGGTAGAACGTGCCTGTAACCTAAAAATTAGGAATTTCATTTCGGTCACCGCCATACCTGTCACTTAAAAGTTTGGGAGAAACAATTTTAATTTTATCTGTGATATACTCGTCACCTAAAAATTGACGAGGGTAATCACATTGACTCCTGCTGTACCTGTCACCTAAAACTTTTGAAGAAGAGGCCCCACGTTGGGCGCCAATTGTGAACTTTTGCCGCGCGGCGAAATTTTTCCTTTGCTCCAATATCAACAACCGCCACCGCCAGCCTAGGCAGTCTCGCTTCTGACCGAGACTCGCCTCTTCACAACGCGGAAGAATTATCGCACCCTGCTTAATGGTCGGTTAATCCGGCCCTATTAACCGCTAGCATGTCTTCTTCAAACATGTTTTAGTTTTTCAAAGTGACAAACAAAACCTGACTGAAATAATTCTATTAATAAACAAAAATAAAACAAACAAAATAATATTGACTTATAATATAAAACCTAGTTCTGTGAATGATAAAGTTTTAGTGATAAAGATATTACAGTATCCTTGAGCGTATCATCCTAGTGAAGTAAATGCAATAGTTTAAATGCCTCACGATAAGTCGCACACGATGTTGGACAACGAACATTCACCAACAACAACCGGAAATAATAACATTCATCGTTATTGGGATGTACTGTGTAGATGCGACCTAAAGCGTCTTAAGAAAATACAGTTGGATATTCTTCAACTGGTGTTCCATGTTTTTGACGCTGAAATGATTTTGATAATGCCTTCCAGGTAGAGGTGGACATGGGAATGGAAAATAGAGAAATAGGAACCGCGAGATTGGTAGTAAATTTTTTTTGGTAAAAAGTTTCTTATGGAAACGGGATTGAAATTGAAACAGTACAAAATTTGTTAAAAGAAAGGTCGAATGGGGAAAAAATTATGAAATCTAATAGCTTTGAACCTTTACCAAAAAAATTTAAAATTGATGGCATTGTTGATTTTACAGAAATTCATGATCCAGATGAATTAACCCATAATATAAATGAATTATCATAATATCTCAACTTAAAAGTTGAAAAAGATACTGACCCAGTTACATTTTGGAAAGAAAAAAACTTGTATGTCCTTTACTTTATGATGTAGCTTGTCAAATTTTATGCATACCAGCAACTTCATCTGCTAGTGAACGTGTCGTCAGCATTGCAGGTCGAATATTGGAGTAAAGAACTGGAGAACTACATTATCGGCAAACAGTTAATAATTTATTTTTACATGGCAACATTTAATTGTTTAGTTTAATTTTCTCAATGCAAAATTTTGACTGCTTATTTTGGTCTTGTGTACATTTTTATAAAAAAAATCGTGTTTTTGAACGGAAGGGAACGGAAGGGAAATGGAAATGCTTCTTTTGGAGTGGGAGGGAAATGGGAATTGGTTGGTAAATTGGAAAATGAGAAGAAAGCGGAAATGTTTTCATGGAAATGGAAGGGAAATTGGAATGAAAAAGCGATTCCCGTCCATCTCTAATTCCAGGTGTAATAGCGTGGCATGTCAGCATACAGCAAAGTGCGAGCAAAATCATCAGTTTTGCAGACTTTGGAGAAACTTGTTAATGTTGTCGACAGTGGACGTACTGCTCTGTCTGCTGCGTTCGATTCATTAAAATAAGAAATTCATGAGAGATTTTAATTTTTGTTTAAAAACTCTAGCAGTTATGTCTGCCTAACAACTGGTGCTACATAGCACTTTCCTCTTAATTTCGGACCATTTTGGTTACATGTGAATGTAACAAATAAGTCTGGGCGGCCATAATGCCTAACATATGGAGCATCTTGAGCATATTCATGCATTTGGCGTGGTCTTCTTATATAAGTGGCTGGCAAAATTGTCATTCTTCCTACATTATTTGCATTGCCATCCGCATTTATAGCATCGCAGAGATGAATGTAGGCCCTATTCTTCTGATCGTAGCTGTCGTTGGTTCAAACGGATGTATGTCAATCGTTCAGTCTTAATTTTTAAATTCATAGAAATTCATAGCATTAACTTTTTGTTGGTTTCAGCACCTGCAATCCAAAATGATAAATGCTTAATTTGTTACTTAGATGAAATGAATTAAAATATATTATTTAGTTTTGTTAAGTTTATTTACCTGTTACTTGATCTACTATTTTGATATTAAAATGGTATCCATCTTCCCCCTGTCAAATGATCAAAGGATATTGCAATGCATCATAACTCCAGTGTGTTTTAGATACCCGTTTGAAATCACTAAGACGATGAAGCACAATATCTTTAAAATGTAAATTTTTCCCCACAATGTAATTATGTATTATAAATAAATGTCTGACAAGAGAAGTTTAGTTATTGACAAATAGTTTTATTCTGTAATTTACCTGTTGGTTAGTTATTGTGCTGTATTCTAACAATTTTAACAATTGAATAAACGAGTGATTGATCACAGCAATATACACATGTGATTGCCAGCACTGTTTTTTTTCTGATAAAGTTTATCTGAAGTAAATTTGTTTCAGGAGTCAAGAATCGACGTAGAGAAAAATAATCATACCCTACAAGTTCAAGGGGTCGGTTTTAACAATACGTTGAATGTGGGCATGAAATTATCCTGTATAATATTTGTAGCGCCAAATGGTGTCATTTGAAAACAGCTGTTATATTTCTGAATGCTGGCTAAGAAGGGCTTAAAATCATTTCCAATCCAAGAAATTAATGATCTTAAAGGATCTGGTGGTGGGACCAATTGTGGCAATTTTACTTTGCCTCCAGCACAACATAATTTAATAGATTCACAAATGTTTGAAGCTCAATCGTAAATGTGATTTATCTAGTTATTTGGATTAATTTAGTTACTGTTGGCATTTAAATAAACGTCCAGCCAAGTTTGCGTTCGAAGCAGTTGTGTTCATCTATTGAAAATCTTGAACCTACAGCTACAATACTGGTGTTGGCAGCTACAACATTGGTGTTGAAAATATAAAGACCTATGAAGTTATAACATTGATATTGGTAGTAACAAACGCTAAAGATTACAACTTTGGTGTCAGAAGTAAGATTTTTGGTAGCTTGAAACTTTCTGCAATAAAGAATGACAGTATTGGAAAACCTCGATACAACAATCTAAGGAAAGAATTACGACAACGAAACCTCGACTCGAGAGGAGCGTAAGCAATTTTGATAAACCGCTTAAGGGACGCTCGAATAAAAGATGAAATCAGTCTGGATGAGTTCAAATTTTCGGATCCTATAAAACAATCGTTAGATGATATGAAAAGAATGATCAGTTAGCACACAACCAAAATGATTAGAATAATACGATCAGCCTATCCAAGAACATCACCCAAAGAAGAGACTATACATATTCCTG